TTTTTTTTTTCATGGTGGGAAAAATGGTACTAGTCATTAAAATAAGTAGTACTTTGGAAATAGAACTGTTATCTAAATTAACTCTGATACTGGATTCTGTGATTAGACTTATTGATTTACTATAACTAGGCTAAATGTGAATTTTGAAATGATGGAATTATCCATAATAATTACAAAAGTATTATGGAAATTGAATCAGTTGTGGAAACAGGGTAATGAAAGTTTTGGTAATTTATTCAAGGCCACAGTTTGTGAACTAAATTCCAAATTCAGGTCACAATCTGTTAAGCCAGAGGTACTTAACTAGAGAGGAACATTAGATCACCAGTGGGTCTTTGTCAAAAAGAAAAAGAACACACATGCACGTGCACACGCACACGCACACACACACACACACACACACTTTCTCTGGATATATACCTTCCATCATCATCCCCAGGGCTCCAAATGACACTCAGACAAGAATTTGAGAAAACATAGGGGATTCTGTTGTACATAATTAGTTAAGAACCATTATACTAAACCATGAACACATACCTTTTATATCTGTTTATTTCTTTTGAAAATAGTATGAACTATTTGGAATTACTTTGGTAGAAGTTTTAAGTTTCAGAAAATTTTAAATTGGGAGTTACTGTTAAAAATTCATACATATAAGCAACTTTTGCCAATTTTTTAAAAAATTGCACCTTTAAAGTCACAGTGCAAGCTTAAGAACATAAAAAATGTATAATTTGATTTTATTTTTATAATTATGTTATTTTGTGTTCAGTTAGAGATATGATGGGCTAGAGACTGATTACAGGATCAGCTTGAGGAGGGGGTGATGAGATGGTCACAGTTTTCCATATAAGCAGGATTCTTTCTATCTTTGGAAAACATCAATCAAGTGATAGTCTAGATCTGGAAAGCCATGCTGAAATCTTGTTTGCCTTTAAATTATAAGTGAAGAAAGTATTTTTTTAAATGAAGAAATGGTCATTTGTTCATCTTTTCTCTAGAACAGACGTGGCAAATACTAATTTCAAGACTCTTTTACTTCAAAATCCTTCTCAATATGCTACTCCAGGCAGCTACTGTTAATTTATTGGAATTGACACGAAGATGAAACCTATTTGGCTTTTCTGCTCTAGGCAGTATTTTATTTTATTTTTGTCAGTTTTGTTTAGTTTAAATGGTGTTATAGTGTTCCTATGCTTCAGTGGCATTTTCTTTGGAAATTAAAAATAATAAATAGTGGCTTTTAACACAAATTACATGAATGATAATTTACAGAGGACCTGTCCCCCACAAAACAAAACAAATCAAACAAAAGGCAGGTTAGCTAGACTGTTGAAATTAGGACATTGTTTTAAGAGATAGCTGGCCACACAGCCTGTGAGCCAGATTTATAGCCTGTAAACTAAGAATGATTTTTACATTTTTAAATGGCTGAAAAAAGAACAGTATTTTGGGACATGTAACAATTACCTGAAATTTCATTTTTAGTGTCTATAAATAAAGTTTTATTGGAACATAACCATGCTCATTCCTATACTGTCCTGTGGATGCTTTTGTGCTATAATGGCAGAATGGAGTAGTTGTGACAGAAACCACGTGGTCTGCAAAGCCGAAAATATTTACTTGTCTGGCCCTTTACAGAAAAAGTTTGCCATACCTTGTTTTCAGATATTAATGTGACAGTGCATGATTGTTTTTGGGTTATATAATAAAGGAGGAAACTTATTTTGCTGGTATTTTCAACAGGTTTCTTCTTTTTTTTTAAATTTTTTTATTATGTTTATAGTAACAAGTTTCTGAAAAGGAATAACTTAGAAAATAGGTATTTTTTTATACAGGTAAATAGTAGAAGCAACCCTTTTTTTTTTATAGACTACAAAGAACATGGAGTTACCAGCCTTAGTTTATAATAGGTCTGCTCTTTTAATTTCTTCCGTTGTTGAGAGGAGGTCCAGAGCACTAATACTGCCACAGATTTTAGCAGCTTATAATCCCATCTGTGTCCTAGGACACTGCAGAGCAGCAGCAAGTTCTCATGCTTTTTGGTTTCAACTTTAAGACTTAAAAATGTAGAACCCCAGAAAGTTTTTTTTTAAATAGGGATTTTATCTATCATTCTTATCACATTAGAAATTGACAAAATTTAAAAATATTTATTTAACGGTAACAGTAATCCATTACATGTTCACAAAAGAACATTTTTATGAAAAATGTTTTCCAAAACAAAAAAAAATTAATGAAATTTTTGCGGATCTCTTTAATGATTGTTTTCGTGGAAGACAGCTGGATTCTTGTATCTCTTCCTCCATTAAGTCTGCTGTGATATGTTCTTTTGATATGAAGGAAATCTGGTCATACACAGATACAGTTTTAGAAAAAAATGAGTATTTTTAGATAATTGTGAATGTTTTTCTCTGATATTACACCAAAACTCAACACATGGTAGATTTTTTGCTTTTTTTTTTAAAGTCAGGTTTTTTGAAGTATAATTTCCATAGAATAAAATGTTTGGTTTTTTTTTTTGATAAAACAATTCTGTGTGATTAACCCATAAGACATTTAACCTCCGACCACAGTTACAATGTAGGATATTTTGGTCACTCCGAAAAATTTCTCAAGCCCTTTTGTAATCAGCCCTCTCCCCTCACTCCCAGCTTCTGGCAACGTCTGATCTCATTTTTGTCCCCATAGTTTCACCTTTTCCAGAATATCATATAAATGGAATCACATATAGCATAATATGTTTGCGATTCATCCATGTTGTTATAGTTATCATTAGTTCATTTCTTCTTATTGTATGGATGTTTATCCATTTAGCAGTACTGGATATTGAGTTTCCAGTTTTGGGTTGATTATAAATAAAACCATTCCAAGCATTCATGTACAGATTTTTGCATGAACATATGTTTTTATTTCTTAGGTAAATGCCTAGGCATGGTATTGCTTGGTAGGTAGTATGGTAGGTGTATGTTTACTATAAGAAGCTGTCAAACTGGCTTTCCAAAGTGGGTGGACCATTTTGCATTACAGCCACCAATGTGTGAAAGTCCCAGTTGCTCTACATATTTATCAACATTTGAGGTTGTTTTTGTTTTAGCCATTTTAATCAATATTAGAATTTCAGTTTGCATTTCTCTAATGATTAATGATACTGAGAATTGTTTCATGTTAGTGTTTTCCATTCATATATCTTCAGCAAAGCATGTTATTTTGAATCTTTTGCCCATTTTTTTTAGAAATTTGGTGGCTTTAAAAAATTATTATTGAGTTGTGACAGGTTTTTCTATATATTGAATGTCAGCATTTTTTTTAGATACATAATTTGCAGGTATTTTCTCCAAGTCTGTGACTTTTTTCCCCCTTGAACTTTCAAAGAGAAGTTTTAATTTTAATGAAACGTAACTTACCAGTTCTTTCTTTTGTAGTTCATGTCTTTCATGTTCTAAGAAGTCTTTCATAATTTAGGGTCACAAAGATTTTTCATGTTTTCTTATACCAGTTTTATACTTTTAGATTTTTTAGGTCTTTGAGATGTTTAGAGTTAATTTTTGTAAATGGTGTAAGATACAAGTTGAAGTTTGTCTTGTTGTTTGTTCATAAGATGTCCAATTGTTCCAGCATAGTTGTTGAAAAAACTGTGTTTTCTCTATTGAAATGTGTTGGCACCTTTGCTCTGTGTCAACTGAACGTTATGTGGGTCTATTTCTGGATTCTCTGTTCTGTCCCATTGAAGTGTGTGTCTTCTCACTGAGACCACACTAGCTTGATTGCTGAAGCTTTATAGTGAGTTTTAAAAACAGGTAGTATGAATTCTCCTTTGTACATCTTTTTCAGAATTATTTTGGGTATTCCAGCACCTTGTTTTTCCGCATAAGACAAGAGGTAGTTTTTTAAAAGTTAGTTTTAAAGTGCAGAATCTGAAACCATTAATGAACTTTTTGTCCTCTGTAACATTACAATCTATGGGACTATCTTGAACATTGAATGGATTTTTTTAACCCATGAATGCTTTTATAAGATCACACATAATTCATTTAGAGAATATTGGTTCTCTGAATTATATAGACCTAATTATTGGCACATTTCCTTATTCAATATTTAAAAGTTACATGTATTAATATCTCCACTGATCTCCTGAGAGAATTCTTTTTTTTTTTTTAAGAGAGAGAGTGCTGCTCATGCAGGCACATTGCAGTGGGAGTGGGATGGGGAGGGGCAGAGGGACAGGGGGAGAAAGAATCTTAAGCAGACTCCATGCCCAGGGCAGAGCCCGAAGCAGGGCTTGATCTCATGACCCTGCGATCATGACCGGACCCGAAATCAAGAGTCAGATGCTTATCTGACTGAGCCACCCAGGCGCCCCTCATGAGAGAATTCACTTTAAGTGTTGGGAAAGTGTCAGGCTAATGGTGGTGGTACAGATTTTCCAAAATCCTTCTTTTTTGCTTGAAAGATCAAATTTTATCACTGGCATTGCATACTGTCACTTGTTTCTCTTGAAGTAATAGGTTTAGTTGGTTCATTTTTGAGAACATGTCTGTCAGTTACCCAAGTCTGAATAACCATCGTTGGTTTAATTCCCCACTCAGTCATGCAAAGGCTTTATCTTGAGGCAAACCATTGTACTTCATTATGCAGCAGAACTGCTTTTGCTTAGTTCCCATTTTGTCACACAGGATATTGAAAAGAAATCAATCCAGGGTCAAGATTTAATTAAATCAACAATTTTACTGCTTTTCATCAGGGACATTCTTAAATGAAGTGAAACTGTCCTTTTTCAGAGAAATCGTCTGAAATATATTTGGTCACTTTCTGTTACTATGATTATTATACTTCACGTATGGAGATTGATGTGGAAACTTAAACTCAGTGTTACAACACTAGGAAGACAGTAAGTTCCTGATGTTTGAGGCACACCTGAGTTTGAGTTTGGTATACGGTGAGACAATCTCTTAAGGGCTAATACAGTTAAATTAAGTTGTTGTTTTATTATCTTATAGGTGCTATACTTGGTAGATCAGAAACTCAGGAGTGTATTTTCTATAATGCTAATTGGGAAAGAGATAGAACCAATCGAACTGGTGTTGAACCCTGTTATGGTGACAAAGATAAAAGGCGACATTGTTTTGCTACCTGGAAGAATATTTCTGGTTCCATTGAAATAGTGAAGCAAGGTTGTTGGCTGGATGATATCAACTGTTATGACAGGTAAGGAAACATTTTCTCCACACTCATTTTTAAAGGGGGAAAGCTCAGTGCATGTATTTTTACTTAAATGTTTTTTTTTTAAGATGGGATTATGAATACCACTATAACATGCTCCAATGACAATATACATGTTTTAAAGTAATAAGATAAATATGGCATGTTTATGTTTTATCTTTGGTACACTGAATAATCTACCATGTAGTGAGAACTATAGATAAGAACCTTTTTTCCCCTATGTTATTAGTATGATAAACTTTTTTTAAGGTCAATTTTAAGGAAAAAGGATTTTTTAAATTGCTTTAAAAGACAGTATATCAGTTGAAAATCTATCCTGTATCCTCAGAGAAAGTAAAGCTTAATCATAGTATTTAATTTCCTTTTAGTTTCCCTATTTATGTATCTGGAAGAAATTGATCTTACTGCATTTTTTTTCCTTTTTTTTTCTTGCAAAGTAGGCCTTTGTTCTTTACCCCTGAGAGACATTTTAACTTGATGTTCAGAATTACCTCAGTACTAAGAGAGTCCTCATAGAAAGCTACATTTTATTTAAAATATTTTGCTTAAATTGTTTTATTCTGTATCAGAAATAAAATACAGTAGACATGTTATTGACTGCCTGTGATCTTTCTGTAAGGAGCCCCATAGATGTTTGGTTGATTACTTAAACTGCCTGGGCCACAGGATTTCCACTGTGGGTGGGTGCTGATGGCTGGCAGAGGCTGCAAAGCCCTAGATAAATAGACATTTTGGAGCCAGAAAATACTGATATACTCATGGAACACTGGATACTTGCCTATCCCTTTCAGGAGCCTCAGTTGATTACTATGAACCTGTGGTTGATTAGCCATATGTAATTAATAGCAAAATGCATTGAATAAATCCATGAAAATTGAATTATCTCAATTTTTCATGAGAAATTAAAATCTTAGGTATATATTTAGTATTTAGGGTTTACTTCTAAATCTCTGAATTTTCCAGGGACTATTTCTCTGTAATTACACATTTTAGCTGCATTTCCGATTCTTAGCCTCTCTGTAAATAGAGGTGATCATCAAGTGATATCTGCTATTATGAAAGGTAAGTAGGGCCACTAGGAAAACAGGATGGAGATTACTGAAAAAATTAAAAAAACTACCCTATGATCCAGCAGTTCTACTTCGGGGTATTTACTGAGGAAATGAAAATGCTAACTTGTAAAAAGATACATGCACCCCTGTGTTTATTGCAGCATTATTTACAATAGCCAAGATATGGAACCAACCTGCCTGTCCATTGCTGGATAAAGAAAATATGGTGTGTACACACACACACACACACACACACACACACACACACACAGAAGAATATTACTCAGCCATTTAAAGAAAAAAATATTGCTATTTGAGACAACCTAGATAGACCTTGAGGGTATTATGCTAAGTGAAATTAGTCATATAGAGAAAGACAAATACCATGTGATTTTACTTACATGTGTAGTCTTAAAAAACAAAAAAAATAAAATGAACTCCCAGATTAGAGGCTGGGGGTTGGGGGGGGTAAGGTGAAATGGTTGAAGGTGTTCAAAAGGTACAAACTTCCAGTTATAAAACAAGTCCTGGGGTTGTAATATATAGCATGGCAACTATAGTTAATAAAGCTATATCGTATATTTGAAAGTTTTGATAACAGAGATTTTTCTTCTTCTTCTTCTTTTTTTTTTTTTTTTTAAAGAAAGGTGGTTGGGGAGGGGCAGAGAGAGGGAGAGAGTGGGGCTTGATCTCATGACCCTGAGATCATGACCTGAGCTGAAATCCAGAGTTATATCCTTAACTGACTGAGCCACCCAGGTGCCCTGATAAGAAAGTAGATCTTAACAGTCCTCATCACAAGAAAAAACATTTGTAACTATGTGTGGTGTTGGACATTAACTAGATTATTGTGGTGTTCATTTCACAGTATGTACAGATCTGAAGATAATTATGTTGTATACCTGAAACTAATGTAGTGTTATGTCAGTTTTATTAAAAACAAAAAACACACACAGGAAGAGTTTTGGGGGAAAATCTTTACTCAAATTATCTTTTATTAGTTAGTTGAAACCAGAGATTCTTGTTCTTTTTGTGGCAAAAACTACTGTTTGTCTCTCCTGAAGGATAGTTAAGAGAAAAAAAAAAGGATTCAAGAAATGTCAAAGTATGGAGGAAAAGACAATGATAAGAAGAATGAAATTGGATAATGAAAAGTACTTTTTTGAGTTAATTAGGCTACGTAGTCATTTTCACCTCCTATAATTTGAGGCATGATTCTAAAAATTTTAAATTCATATATTTTTTATAACTTAAGATTTAGCTTTCAGTTGTCTTTTACTTTCTACTAAATAGGTATTGGTGTAGATTTAATTTTAATGTTTGATTTTGTTAAAACAGTTTTCTTCCTGAAATTTTTTAAGCTTTCCAGTTTATTTTATTTATTTTTTTAAGATTTATTTGTTTATTTGAGAGAGAGAGAGCATGAGAGGGGGAGGGTCAGAGGGAGTAGCAGGGACGATCCCGGGACTCCAGGATCATAACCCGAGCCAAACGCAGTTGCCCAACCAATTGAGCCACCCAGGCGCCCTTAAGCTTTCCATTTTAAATTCAACCCTATTATTCTAATAGCCATCACAGAAGTTTGCAGTTTATTTCTAAGATATGTCTTTTAATTCACCTCATGTTTATTAGCAATATGTGAAGTTTTGATTTTTTTTTTTAAACAGGTATAGCAGTTTCTTAGCAGCTAATTAGGGTTTGTTCTAGCAGCTAAATCCCTATCTCCTCAGCTCCTCAGTCAACATAACTCATACCAGTTATTGAGTTACTAGGTTCTGTACGTTGTTACATATTGTTCTCTATTTGTTGGTTATCTCAACCCTGTTCATTTTGCTTAGGGAATTTAAATCTACTCCAAAAAATGACACTCTTAATTCCCAAACCTAGCTTGGGAATTAAACTTGGGTCTCTGATGTTGAGATAGATTCTGCCATGAGAGGAACTTGCATTATTTTGTGTATGTGTATATGTGTGTGTGTGTGTGTGTATGGATGTATTGGTGTGTACACACCTAGTTCTATTTATAGTGTTCAGTTTTTGTACTTACGCAATGGGAAAGCTGTATTTCCTGTAAGAGAAAGCACTCCTAAACCAAATTTCTTCATTGGCTTTATGTTTCTTTTAAAGCTTTTCTAATAATTAAAAAAAAAAGATGGTTGCCTTAAATTAATCATTAAAAACCAAATTTAAGCAATGTTCTCATGGAGCTACTGTGATTGCTATAAAAGCGGCTGTTTTGTTTTTGTTTTGATGAGATTTAGTAACAGGATTACTGGAATGTTTTTGGCTTTTAAGAATTGATCATTGGATATTAATAAGAATCTTGAAGTTGACTATGAATGAGTTTTTCATTATTTTATCTCAGAAGAATTTTAGAAAAACACCCATCGTAGATTCAGTTTAATGTTGACTTTAATTATTTCTCCTTTGTTTGTTTATAGGACTGATTGTATAGAAAAAAAAGACAGCCCTGAAGTGTATTTTTGTTGCTGTGAGGGCAATATGTGTAACGAAAGGTTTTCTTATTTTCCGGAGATGGAAGTCACACAGCGTAAGTTCACAGGGAAAATACATAGGTCTGTTTGACTAGTACCCTGAAAACAAAGCATATTTGTGTTGATGGAATAATTTACTCCTACCTTCTCCTACTCTTATTTTTCTCCTAAAATTTGATACTATAAGAAATATTTATTGTGGAATTTTGTAGACCAAATCTGAATTGTTTTTTTCCTTCCATTTTCCACAGCAACTTCGAACCCAGTTACACCTAAGCCACCCTATTACAACATACTGCTCTATTCCTTGGTGCCACTTATGTTGATTGCGGGTATTGTTATTTGTGCATTTTGGGTGTATAGGCATCATAAGATGGCCTACCCTCCTGTACTTGTTCCAACTCAAGTAAGTTATTGTCTTGTACTTTGTGCTGTTTTAAGTTGTATATTTTAAAGAAATATTACTGTGGTGAAACCCACTGGGTTGCTATAAATCATTTTCTTTTGGTGTTACTTTTTGAATGTTTATTGTTATGGCAGCTATGGCTAATTTTCCGAACTTTATTGACTTGCTATGTCCTAAACTTTTCTCACTTAGGAGTTAAGGTAAAGTAGAACAAGGTGTATTCTGTTCTTTGGACAGTTTTACTGTCATTGTAGGGCTTTCAAGTGTGAGATTCACCTTGCTTTGTTTCTTGAGAAGTAATTGATGGTGGAGAAGTGATACCATAACCCATTCTTTCCCTCCTGTTCTTTCTCCCATTCCTAAATTTTTGTGCCTTTTTCAAGTCTACTTGCCAAAATATCCTTTTAACCATAGGGAGGGATTTGATTTAGTAAGGTAATCAGGAAAGTGTGGAAAAGAGAGGTTTCACAAAGGCATCAGGAAGGTATATCCAAAAAAATGTTTTTTGGAAGACGAGCAGATGAGCAGTGCTTCTCTTCATTTATTATTGGTAGTTCCAAGTGTTGCTTTTGTTTTGTTAGTTTGGGTTTTTTGTTTTGTTTTGTTTTTTGCAGCATATCAAGTGTGTACTGAAGACTAAAAGCTTTTTTTTTTTTAATGCCCTTGATTCTCCCTCTCCTGACCCTGAATATACCTGAAACTGTAGATGTGGTGGGTAATCAGATTAAATTCATGAAATTTTCCTCATTCTCTATCATGTAGACAGTTGGCACTGGTACAGTGGTTTACAAGCTCTTTTAATATAAGTAGTTAATATTCTGCAGGCTGCGGAAAGGTGAAAACTATGGTTCTACTTGTGTGAGACATCTTTAAACTCTAGTTTTTACTGTGTTCCTTTTAACTCTTAAGATCAGATTACCTTGGCCTTCTGGATCTCTTGGTTTAACTTTGTTTCTCTAATACCACTAGGATTAATGGTTAAAACGTGATAGAAGAATGGTAAAGTCCTATAATTTAATGACCAAAACAACTTCTTCCCTGTAAGCTTTATTTACATAACATACTTCTTTCTCAGTACTTGCAGCAATCTGTTAGCATTAGATTATTGATCCACATAATCTCTGTAAGATGTGTATACTGAGAAATAAACCCAAAGGTAAAATACCTTATTTGGTAAATTAGGTAAACACTGTTTTGTGCAGCTGAAATATTTTAACTTTTAAACAGTAACTAAGTTGTGGATTTATTAAAAATTATCTCTGAAAGTATTATAAAAATAAAAATTTTAGTGCCTAATAAATATATGTAGCTTATTCCAAATGGCCGTAGGATCCACTTTATCTTCTTTAGGTGGTAACTATTTTTTATTTTATTTCTATATTTAGAAGAGAGAGTGTTTAGTACTTAGTGTCTGAATTTACCCTAGATTTGTGTTACGAAAGAAAAAAACTGGAAACTAAATTTAAAAACAAATTTGTTGGTTTTTTAATAGAACTTTAAATATAATGCATTCTTATAGATATATAAGAATAGAATATAGATAATATAATATAGATAATATTCATAGAATATTGGCACAAAGCTATGGTTAGACTTTTTTTTAGAGGGCTCAGTATCCTATATATGAGGCTACTTTATTTAGAAATGCTAATTAATTCAAGCATTTAGACTTTTAAAATGGAAAGATACAGTCCATTTCTGTGGATTTTAGATATTTGTTGCCATGTTAAAGTCATTATACACATTTATTTAGCACTTGAATTGCTCTGTGGTAAATTTGCATACATTGTATGAATTACTGAAAAATGAGAACTAGATTTAAGGTATTGTGATGGAATGATCTGGAATGGTCAAGCTTTGTTAGGAAAAATATAAAACATGCCTAACTATGCTTTTTTTCCTGTCATAAACTGTGTTGTAGAAGAGGGGTTGTCATCAGTTTGGAACTTCATTTATGTCATCTCTCACTGTGTCTCAAATAGTATAGTGTCATGCTTTAAGTCTCATTTTTGGTGAGAGGTTTATACAAAGTAGTTCTGCAACTGCTTAGTGCCCATCTTATTACAAAATGCCCAGTTTCATCTCCAATTTCAAAATAATTGATAATAACAGCAAGCATTTATTTGAACACTTACAGTGTACTAGGGTACTGGTAAATTGCACATATGTATACATACATAAGTTTTATATAAGAATATGTAAAAACATAAAATACATAATTTTTTCCCATGATTTCTAAATTGTGACCAGTATATAAGGCTCATCTTTGGAATTTATTAAATAATACGGACTCCTGGGCCACAGCCCTGTAAGTATGGAGTGGGGCCTGAGATACTATGTTTCTAATAAGTTTTCAGGGTGATTGTGGTGACCAGCCAGGTGTGAAAAGCACTGATTTCACTTTACCTCACAGGGTTGTTTATGTAGTTTTAATTTCCATTTTATAGAAAAAGAAATTGAGACATAGCAAAGCTTAACAAGTGTCAGAGCTGGAATCTGAACTAAAGCTTTGCTTTTCTTGCTGCTTATCCTGTTCTGCCTCTTTTTTTTTTTCCCCAGAAAGCCGATGTCTCTGGTGTTTTAGATAATTCAGTAAACATTCCTGCCATTTCAAAATCATTCTGTAGGCTAATTTATTTTCCTACTTTGGATATTGAAAAGTTTGACTACTAAAATGAGCAGTAGTATCACACTGTCTCTCACATAGGACAAAAAAGAAAAGTCATGGATATATCCAAGGGCATATTCATGTGTTTTCCATTAACAAAATTTTTTAGCACATTTTAGAATAAGGTTTATCAGCATGATTGGGTTGTAGGTAAGGATTCCTGTGCCGCTGAGTTTATAGTGCCAATGCCTACTAGTTATTCAAGACTTTTACGAGGGACAGGAGTAATAAGTAAGGGACACATACATTTGAAGTCTTAAGGTGATTTCTGTATTTTACTCCATATTCATGTCCCCATGTCCAAGGCTTAAGTCCCAAGACTAGTTAGGAAAAGATCATATATTCTTATGGATTTCTGAAACATTTTTCCTCCATATCTTCAAACACTTAAGACAGTGACATGAAATTTTTCATTCCTTTTCTTAGGGAAACTTTTCCTTAAAGCTTTGGCTAAAGGCTGGTTTGTGAATTAACTGGTCTGTTTTATGACATTAGTCTTATCATGTGGTAATATCTTATTGACAAGTCATTACTACAATAAGCACTATACTTGAGAATTTAATAGTGGATCTCGCAGAACAAGCTGAAGTTATGTATACTGTGACCATTCGTTGGTCTGATCTCAGTCTTTTATTCTCATTGGTGGGTAAAAGATCAGTCTGTGGCATTCTGGAAGACAAGAGATATCCACATAATATTTTCTTACTAAGCTGGTTCTGACAGCAAAATTATGGGATTCTTTATTTCTAAGACACCAAGTTAGAATTTCTCCTGGTGTTAGTATTTTATTGTGAAGAAATGATCTAAGGATATACATGCTTTAAAATCTGGTCTTATGGCTTAGTAACCGGTAAAAAATATTAATTCTCAAATCTAGCATAGTAAGAAGAATGGAAAAAGTAATTTTGCTGTTTTTTTTTTAATTGAAGCCATTCTTCTTTCTTTATAACCTATAACTATTATGTTTCTAGCATATGTTTCTAACTGTTAGGTTTCTAACATTATAACCTATAACTGTTATATTTCTAACACTGTCTTCCCCATCACCCTGGATGAAAGCCTGGGAGACAACTACTACTTTTTTTGGCCCTGTCATTTACCAAGTCCTCTTCATTCACCTTTTCATCCTTCTTGATCCCGTTGTAGTTCGGGACATTGTTACATCTGAGGCTGAGATTATTTCTGTAATCTCATAGCTCGTCTTCTCTCTCTCTCCATCTATATACTCTTGCCGTAGAATGGCATTTTACATGTCTGATTATGTTGCTTCTGTTTTTAAAACTGAGGGCTCTTAGTGATCCACAGCAAAGAATACAAAGTTGGGAGTATGACACGGGGGCTTCCCTACCTCCATACATTTACCTTTTTATTCTTTCCTCCTGTTACACCCTAAGCCATCCATCGTATGCATCTAGAATGGTATTAGTTATGTACTGTCCTTAAAAGGAGAAAATAGTGTTGAAGTCAGTTTCTGTCTTGTGTGATTTAGACGAGTAACAGTTGAGAGAGGCTCTAGTCATTTGTGTACATGTTCCAGTCTCCCACTTGACTGTAAGCTCCTTGAAGACCAGCTGTGTGTTGTAAATCACTGCTGTATTCACGCAGTGTTTGTGTGTATAACCATTCTGTAAGTGTTAAATTGCCAAATTTGACTTTGTTGTATTTAGAGTTATACTGAGATGATAATGCAGCATGCCCAGGCATTCATTTAATAAAGACCTTTAGGGCTTAGTTTTAAGATAAATCTAGAGGCCATATATCTTTAGGGTAAAATAAGTTGAAGTATTCCAGGCTCTCGTAAGACAATGCCAGTGTTCAGTTCTTTTTGGAATCACAAGCTTGAAGCATCTTTTTAATTTGCATTCCCTAGGTCCTTTTCTTTTACCTGTGCTGAAATTGTTTTTCCACATGTAGGAATTTGCTCTTGTAACCTGCAGTGAGTATAAACTGAACACAAACTGGTTTTTCTAGTGCTGGTGAGTCAAGAATAGGAGGGAATGGATACATTGACTCTGTGATTAAGAGGTCTTACTGTGGTTAGAGTTAATGTGGTTTCAATAAAAGTGTTTGCATCGCTCTCAAAACCATATGTGAGTTGAAGTTTCCTGTTAATAAGATCTGTATTTATGCTGATAAAAAACACTTGATAAGAAAGCGGATTTTAGGGGCTAGAAATTACCTACCTTTAACAAGGTATAAAGTTAACGTGTTCATTTTTAAAGGCTATTTAAGTAGCACTATAGTATTGCAACAGTAATGCCTACTTGAATGACATCAGTCTCTTCAGTTCTCTACATCATGACATTTTGTCTTGATTTTGGTCTGAGGAAGA